ATGTTGTGTGCCTGTAGTTTCAGCAGGCTGAGGTGGGAAAATTTCATGAGTCCAAAAATTTCATGCAGTGAGCCACGATCATACCACTGTACTCCAGCCTGTGTGCCAATAGCAAGACCTGTCTCTAAAAAATAAAATAAATAATAATGGTAAGACTAAAGGTCATACAACTTGGCAAGGATTCCCAGATTTCAAGCACCAGCCTCTTCACAATTATGTAAATGGAGTGACTTGCAGAGAAGGAAGAGGCAAAAAGATCTAAAGGCCCCAGAGCTTCATCCCTTAAAGTACTGCCCACCATGGACAGAAATAGGGTGATGAAGCTCGAGCGGCTCCAACATTTGAGGTCTCAGCCTTCATTGGGACACCCCAATCGGCAGGAGAGTGCCTTGAGTGCCTTTCAAGACACTCCCCTGCCAACTGGGGTGGTTTGAACAACCGCCAAATGAGAACCATGTCTAACCTTGACATAGCCCTTTCCTCTTCAGAGTTTTGGGCATATCATATAAGTGATTTCCAAACAGAAGTCAGAGCCTTTCCTACCACAAAGAGGACACAAGGGATGTCAGAGCAGGTCATGGAGATCTTACTATGAGCGTCTTGAGCTCCGAGGGGAGTGGCAGTCCAGGTGAGCAAAGGGAAGCAGCTGCTTCTCCCCTCCAGCCCTCTGGCCTTTGAGATTTACTGTAACGTTAGAAAGGAAATGAACTGCATGACATGCTGGGGGGTGTGGTGTGTGGGTGGTGTGAAGAGGCCCCCAGAGAGTCCACAATAAAAATATTTGAGAAAATAACCACTGCACAGTAAGGAATCAGAAACGCATTTAGATATCTCCGGAAAGAAAACACTCAGGACAGCCAGGCCCCTCTTCAGTAAGCTTTTTATAAGTGTACTCTCTATTCTTCTTTTCCTCATTTCAGTTTATCAGATGACATTAATAAACAATAATATAAATACATGTTGTGGGGCCATATTGACAATTAATGAGATTAATGCAAAAATATGTTAAGATCTATGCCGGCTGGGTGCGGTAGCTCATGCCTGTAATCCCAGCACTTTGGAGGGCCAAGGCGGGTGGATCACTTGAGGCCAGGAGTTCGAGACCAGCCTGGTCAACATGGCAAAAACCTGTCTCTACTAAAAATACAAACATTAGCTGGGCACGGTGGCAGGTGCCTGTAATCCCAGCTACTCGGGAGGCTGAGATTCAAGAATCGCTTGAGCCCAAGAGGCAGAGGTTGCAGTGAGTTGAGATTGTGTCACTACACTCCGGCCTGGGCAACAGAGAAAAGCTACTGTGTCTCAAAATAAAATAAAATAAAAGCCACATTGCAAAAAATAGCAAAAAATATAGTTTAACCAATAATCACTATCATTCATATTCTGCAAACACACAATATCCTTAATACCTACTAAGTGCCAGTCATTATTGGGCACTTCACATATTTAATTTTTGCCCTGACAACAGCCCTGTGAGTTAGGTGATATTATTCACCCCTTTTATAGAAGAAATGATTGTGTCTCAGAAAAGCTATATGACTTTTCCAAAGTCCCCTAGAAATAAAACTCTGAACTGAGGTCTTTGATTCTATAACTCTTGATTTTTTCATGTCAGCATTTTGACAGTTCAACTCAGCAAACAGTCCACATGGGCAGTTAGAAAGAAGAGGCTAATGGAAAGGTTATTATTAAGTATAGATTTCATTCTTACTAAACGTTGCCTAGGTGCGTTTAGGTTACCTACAATAGTAGTGTCCAGAGCCCACACACTTTAAGTTGAAGCTACATGGACAAAGTAAAGATTTATTATATTTTTTTAATTATTGTGGAATTGGTATCAAGATCAACCATCATTTAATTCTACACAGCCTCAAGTTGCCTGATAATTTGGTCTTATTCACTGTGGTCATTTCTGCCATTAAAAATCTCTTATTTTCAATATTCATGCATACACACAAACCCTACACACACACACACACACACACACACACACCCCAACAAATTGGATTTCAGCAAGAGAAAGAAAAGATAGCAAAATTGAAAGCAACTCTTCTTATGTGTCTTTGGGTTAATTTGTCCATACTTGATTTTTGGGTTTTTTTGGAAAATTATCTTCCAAGTTTAAACAAACTTTGGACCCCCTCTACTAAAAATTTTCCACAAAAAGGGCTGAAAACAACTACTACTACATACAGTTCCCAGAAATGATTGGGCAAAAACAAATTTTAAAAAATAAATTTGATCTGGAATTTTTTTTTTTTTTTTTTTTTTTTTTGGACAAAGTTTTGCCATTTTATCCAGGCTGGAATGCAATGGCATTATATTGGCTCACTCTAACCTCTGCCTCCCAGGTTCACGCAATTCTCCTGCCTCAGCCTCCCAAGTAGCTGGGATTACAGGTGCCCACCACAACGCCTAGCTAGTTTTTTGTACTTTTAGTAGAGACGAGGCTTCACTGTGTTGGCCAGGCTGGTCTCGAACTCTTGACCTCGTGATCCACCCACCTCAGCCCCCCAAAGTGCTGAGATTACAGGCGTGAGCCACCGCGCCTGGCCTGACCTGAATTTTTATGTTAGATATGGACATTAGAAAATAACCTACTGTGTATTATCATCTCAATTGATTTTTCAGAAAAAAAAGTATAAAAAGCTTTTTAAGCTGGAGTTTAAATGTACATTGTAAGTGACCAAACTTCAATTCTGATGTCTATGCCAGAAAATGTTACACTCTAGTCGTGTTTTCTCCTTTGCAATCATATTAAACATTTGCCTCCTTGCTAAAATGTTTGGGAATCAAATGGCCCTAAAATGGGAGCTGACGGGACAGAGTAGCTGGTTGGCTGATCAGAAGTAGAAGTGAAGGAACAGGGGAGTCTCCTTTGAGGGCAATGGGGTCCTGGGGACGTGTAGGAGAAACAGAGTCCAGGGAAACCAATGTTCTTGGGCTATAAAAAGGCTTTTCAGTCTGTAACAATAATCCAATTCAACTTACAAATTAATCTTTTCTTAGTTCACTAATAATCTGAAAATAATGTCTACATTAAGCTAGGAAGTAAAACCATTCAATGAACGAATTAAAAATATCAATATGAACTAAGAATTTTCTGACCGTAAATGTATAATAGCTCTTTTGTTAATTTGTAAAATAAGTCCAGGAAATATTTTGATAGATTAATACTCCGATGAGTAGCAAGTTACATTTTTCCAGCACAGTAATACAGTCTGCTTTATTGAGCACCAAACAGAGAGTTGCAAAAATACCCACTGGATAACAATCTCCACACTGTTAAATTTTAGCAGGTGGAATTTCAGCTTGCCAAAGACTCAAAATTAGGAAACTGCTCTTCCAGCCATCTCCAGACTGCTAACCCTTCATTTGGTGAACTGAAAACTGTAGGAAAATTGTCCTTAAGTATGTGATTAGATCTTGAACCAATCTTTTGTCTTCTACTACATTCCAAAGAAGCCTTTATACCAGGCAAATAACTCAATGGTACATTATAAAATGGATAAAGGAGGAATGATGGAACATCAGTAAATGCTGATCATGAGATCTCTGAAGCTGAATCTTACTTCTGCAAATTCATCCAGTTTACCCAAAAGGCAATAATAGGAATCCTGGACACGTCAAAGAGAGGAGGCCCCTTTATAGGAGAGAATAAAATAAAATAATTAAGCTACGTGTGAAAATTTACTTCATTGCAGTTAGTTTCTTCTACTAAGGTGTCTTAACATTTTAAATTAAATATTACTTGCCACTAAACAATATAAGGAATCTTATCCTGCCTGGAAAGAAAAATAGTCACAAGCATTATATTAGCTCCATGAGCTAGGAAGACATGAGTTGTAAAACAAGTAATATAGGACCGCAGTGGTTATTCACAACTGAATAATGAATTGCATGTCACACAATGCATGATAGTTATCTGGGCTGCAGAAGTTATAGCTAAGGAATTATTAGTCTCCTTTATCTGAAAGATCAAATGTAATATGAAATCAAAGGAAGTAATAATTATGCAGGAAACAACATCTAAAAAAAATGCCTCTGATGATGAAAAACTGATTTATAAAGTTCAGGATTAATAAATACTGAGTATCATTTTAGGTTACCCAAGTTGGATTCAACATTTTTAGCAATATTTCCAACTGACTATGTGCAGCAGAAATAAACACCAGAAAATTACCAAACTGCCAAACCAGAGAGTCCTTCTGGAGATGGAACAAAACAATATGTGAAGCTGTTTTTAGCCATTTACAGGGCATGAGAAACATCCATATAATAAAGACAACATGATTATGTGACTCGGTTTCATCGAAAAGAGAAGGCCCTCAAAGTCTACTCCAGAATCCCCTTAGACAAAATTGAATCCTTCTAAGCAAAGGAGGAGACAGTAGGAGATTTCTGGTCCCTGCCAACTGATGACATCCCGTGTTTTCTGAATTGGCCCCTGGTGACTTAAGGGTGGGTACATGAAGCATTTGAAGAAGATTAATGGGTGGTTAAAATCAACATCTAGTCATTGAATAAGGTACCAATCTAGATTACTTTACCCCTTACCAAAGTATGTCAACAAAGAAAACTGTAGGAATTTATTAACTAGTGATTACAAGATATAATTTACTACCAGCCTTAAAGACCTACAGAGGCAGAAAACACCACATGGCTTCCCCATCTTGCATAGGCTTCCCTAATAAAAATTCTTCCCTCAAAAATTTCTCCATACCAAACTCAATTAAGATTAAGTGAAAATTTTTCATTCAACACTCTATACAATATTAACTACCTAAACATTTAAAACTGGGTATTTGCAAAGAAGGGAAAGATGAATGATAGTTATCTCTGAGTAGGATTAAGAGAGATTTTTAGCTGCTTTTTATCTTTTATTGAACATAATAAGCATATGTTACCTGTATAAAGTCAGAAAAAAAAAAGTTGTAAGCACTATCCGCAATAAGGACTTCAAGTATGGGGAACAGATGACTTTTCATTCCCCCTTTTACTTACATTTATGTCTCCCTTTGCAAACACAATCATGTTTCTAATAGTTTCCACTTCTCTCTGTTGACTCTTTGGAATGTTCTGTGAGCACTTGGGTCTCATTTGTTATGCCTGCAAATGGGAAAAAAAAATCTCTGGAGATATTGTCATGTAGTACCAGGTTAAGACTTTAGCAAGCCAAGTGAAGATATGATCTCCCAGCTATGCCTACAGGATAACAATAGCCATTAATTTTCTCCTGATTTAAATATATGGTCTTTTGTGACCATTTACCTTACTGTGGTCTAATAATGTAACTGTAATATTAATTAGTTCTATACAATCACCATTCTACAGAAAAACAGTACTGAAACAAACCACATTCTTTTCACATTTTAAAATTCCAGGGACAATATAGCTGATTGTGGTGAAGAAGTAAACGCATATAGTTAATACAGAAAGCAAGAATACAAAACCAACTCTGGATAAGAAGTTTGTTTCATATCTGCCACAGTTAAATTTGAATGATCTTAATGTCTTCTTTTACCTTCTGTCAAGCCTGTCCTATCACCAAAGCTCTCCCTGACCGCTCCTCAGAGATTTCCCTAAATTTCCATGGCCCTATCTGGGGTTTGCACACCCTGTCCATTTGGACTACCTTGTGCCAGTGACAGCCAGACATACAAGTGACACATATTTGGGAAATCCAATTGGGAAAACTTGATAGATTATGTAGAGAGATAGATATAAAGATATATAATCTATCACTATCCTGCTTTTCAGAACGGATTCCTTATGCCATTTTACAGGCCCTCCTCATCCCACAACACCCTCTCTGCTTATCTCAGTGTCTGGTACCATGTACAGCAAATATCCTTGTTTGGTTGATTCAAAAGACTATGTGTGTGGCCTTACTTTCTTAGTCTACCAACCCACCATCCTTACCTCAGTCCAGCCACAGCCCTGCTGTCACAACTGGGGAGACAGCATGTTGCAATCAAGTTCTGGCTGGGAGCCAGAACATCCAAATACCAGGTTCCAGTTCTGCCAATTCCTACTAGTGTGCCCTTGGACAAGGTGTTTCACCTTCTGGGCTGCCATTTTCCCACTTGTAAATCAAAGTTCCAGGCCAGGTAAACTTTAAGGTCTACTTCAGCTCTTAAGTGCTGTCATTTCCATGTTTAGAGCCCTGTTTAGAGCTTCCCTGTCCAATACTGTAGCTACTAGCTCACAGGGGGTGGGGGGGAGGTGTATTTAATTAAATTTCACTGAAATTAAACAAAATTAAAATTCAGTTTTCAGTTGCACTAGCCCATTTCAAGTTCTCAGTTGCTACATGTGACTAGTAGATACTGGTTTTGGACAACAGATATGGAACATTTCTATCATGGCCAAAAGTTTAATTGGACAGGTCTGGAGTAGAGTGATATATTAAATATCATTTTTGTCCTTCTAGTGGTGGGCCAATAGACCTAATTAACTTCAGTTAAGTATATTACTCTCATCTCATTGTTAGTTTTCATACTCATAATTCACATATTACATATGCAACATGTCCTTTATTTTAAATGGCAGTCACTTATAAATCCTCCTTCTACTTAGAAAAATAGAGCTATGAGAATCACAACTAGAGCAGCAAGCTGAAAAACAGGAGCCTAAGATCCACCATTCCCATCCAAATTCCGACATTCCGCCAGGCTGAACTCTGTTCTCCCACCCCTCACACTTGGCAGTCTTTTGTGCACATGTCTTTGTTGGTCCGCTTTCTTCCATTAGACGATTTCTCTTTCCTCTCATGTCCCTCACTAGGTCCAAATTCATCAAGATCCTTTCCATAGTTATGCTGTGGCAAAGATGGGCAGAACTGCATCCAAATGTAGCCATAGTGGGTTAGCAACAGGGATCAGAATGGGCGATTTAAACAAGTTGCATAAAGGAAATACACAGGCAGCCCGGTAGCATGCGACCTTACCTCAATTTGCACTATCAGATATGAGACAGCTACATGGTAAATATGCCAAGGCTGGAACTGCCTGAGAAGGTAGTAGATCAGCTCACCAAAATACATCAAAAAATAAAATGAGGAGACAAAATAAATCATGAAAGAAGGATTCTTTGGGTTATTAGCAACTGGGGAGGTGGTCTGCTCATCATGTGCATCTGGAGAAATGCCAAAATTCTCTGCCCAGCAACCCACCCAACCCTAGTGGACAGCATGGAATCAGACTATGTGAGCACATGAAGTGTCAGACCCAACACCAGGGAAAGGTGAGCAGCTGGCAGGGGCAGGACTCCTTTCCTCAGCTCTGACTGACAGTTTCCAGTCACAAACTAACAGTTAAGCTGTCCTTTGTATGAATCACTGTACTGTAAAAATATCTATCCCATTGTGATTTTGCTACTCACAATTGTCTGGTGCTCCAGGACAGATGTCACCATCCCTTATCTATTGAAAGTCATGTCTTCCTCCTCAGACCTGCCAGAACACTTTACATCATTCTTGAGATACTTACAATGCAACCTTGCTGTTTCCTGTCCATTTCTTAATTCCTCTACAAGACTGTAAGTTATAATTAGTAGTTTGCAATTCTTCTATTTACCAGCATTTTAGTACAATGAATAACTTTCTAGGAGTTGAATAAATATGGAATCTGACAAGAAGTGGATGACTCGGTGAAGTGAATGAATGGATTTATAAATGAATATCCTATAGCTAATCAGATTGCTACAGCCCCAAAATAATCCAGGTCTTAACAGTGTTTCACCTTTACCCAGTCTTTCACACATGACTTATTTAAGTCCTCTTTCTTTAAAGAGACGTGTCATGCTGGTCACACGTAACAGTAAACGTCCAGCAACAGTGTTAACTGTGAGGGTGTGTTGTTGATGTGTAGAGTAGGTTGAACACTACTAAGGAATGCTATTCTGAATTAAACTGTACCTTATTTTCTGCTTAGTGCTTTTTTCATTTAAAATAATTATGGTAATTCTTTTGCATTTTTTAAGATTATTATGGGTACATGCGTGATAGTTGTACACATTTATGGGGTACATGTGATGTCTTGATAAAGGCATACAATGTGTAATGATCAAATCAGGAAAATTAGAGTGTTCATTGCCTCAAGCATTTATCATTTCTTTGTGTCAGGAACATTACAATTCCACTCTTTTAGTTATTTTTAAATATACAGTAAGTTTTGTTAATTATAGTCACCCTGTGTGCTACAGAAAACCAGATCTTGTGCCTTCTGTGTTTTTTACCCATTTACCATCTCTACTTTATTCCCTCCTCCCCACTACCCTTCCCAGCCTCTGATAACCATCATGCTGCTCTCTCCATGAGATCATTTGTTTTAATTTTTAGCTACCATATGAGTGAGAATATGTGAAATGTGTCTTTCTGTGGCTGGCTTATTTTACTTAACATAATGTCCTCCAGTTCCATCCATGTTGTTGCAAATGACAGAATTTTATTATGTATTCTTTTTTTGTTTTTCTTTTGGAGACAGGGTCTCACTCTGTTCCCCAGGCTGTACTGCCTTGGGGCAATCAGGGCCTACTGTAGCCTTGACCTCCCTGGGCTGAAGCATTCCTCCACCTCAGCCTCCCTGGACGCTGGGACTACAGGTGCATGCTACCATGCCCAGATGATATTTTATTCTTTTTTGTGGCTGAATAATGTTCTATTGTGTATACATATGTATTTTCCTTACCCACTCATCTGGTGATGAACACTTGGGTTGCTTCTACATCTTGGCTATTGTGAATAGTGTTGCAGTAAACATGAGAGTGCAGATATCTCTTCAACACACTGATTTCTTTTCTTTTGGATATATACCCAGCAGTAGGATTGCTGGATTGTGTATTTCTATTTTTCATTTTTTGAGGAATCTCTACTGTTCTCCACAGGGGCTGTACTAATTTACATTCCCACCAACAGTGTATGAAGATTCCCCTTTCTCCACATCCTCACTAACATTCATTATTACCTGTCTTTTGGATAAAAATCATTTTAACTGGGTAAGATGAATTCTCATTGCAGTTTTGATTTTATAATTTTTGATATCATACTTAATTGGATTCAAACAAAATCATTGACAGTAAATTTATTTCTACATATATAAGATAATGCATGTATAAAGTTATTCATTATGACACTGTCTTTAAAAATAAAAAATTGGAAACTCAATGACCATCAATAGGGAGAGAAGTAAGTTATGATATAGCCATTCAATGGAATGACATGCAAATGTTTAAAGAAAGAATAATGCTTTCTACCTACTGCATTCTAAAGTAATTGATTACATTGCTGTCTGTAATAGAAAATATTAGAAACTACATCAAGGTCCATCAATGGGGTGTAGACAAATAAAGTGTGGTACATCAGTGGAATGATAATACAATTATGAAAAATGATGCTACTCCGCCTATATACAAAGATGTACAAAATATATTGTTAAGCAGAAAAAGCAAGATCAAAAACTTTTTTTAAAAAACAGAGTCTTGCTCTGTCACCCAGACTGCTGTGCAATGGTATAATCATGGCTCACTGCAGCCTCAACTGCCTAGGTTCAAGTGATCCTCCTGCCTCAGCCTCCTGAGTTATAACTGAGACTATAGGCACATGCCACCATGCTTAACTAATGTTTTATTTTTTTATAGAAACAGGGTCTCCCTATGCTGTCCAAGCTGGTCTCAAATGCCTGGGCTCCAGTAATTTTCCCGCATGGGCCTCCCAAAAGGCTGGGATTACAGGAGTCAGTCAATCACCTCATCCTGCCAGAAACAAAACAGATAGTGTTAATTTTCGTATGAAAAAGGAGAGAGTTTAAGATATACTGGCATAAAGAAATTCTCAAACAGTACACAAGAAACTAATAAAAATGGCTATACAAGGGCAGTAGAATTGCGTTCATGACGGAAGAGGGTGAGCAAAATTTTTCATCATATACCATTTCATATTTCTGTGTTTACCCTTGCAAGTGCATTACCTATTCCAAAAAATTAATGGACATTTCCATTATCAGGCTACTTTTTTTAATGAATGAATTTTAAAAGAATCCCTAATATATCATTCTTCATCATTCTCTCAACAAGTTTCTTTTCTGTTCTCTGCCCCGCCACCCCCTTCT